TCAGGAAGACTAAAGAGATGCAATCATTGAGGACACCAGAGTTCTATATTCTTTCCCCGCATCAAGGCTGCCACAGACTCACCATTGACCACAAAAGGCAGGAGCTCAATTTTATTTTTCATCTGAGACTTGGCACTTCTAAGAAGCCAGTGCCCATTAGACCACAGTGTGCTGGGGGATCAATACTGACTTAAAGGGAAGAAGGCCTCTTTCTGAACCATCGCTGATCCTTCCTGCAGTGGAGAGGGTTCCCCCAAGGAACTCAGCTCAAGAAGCATAACAACTGCTAGCAGAAATATTTCCTCATTTAGATGCCAAGTTGCAAATTGTTTTTTCTGGTGGTGGTGGTGGTGGTTTTTTGGTTTGATTTGGGTTTTTTTTTTTTTTTTCTCAGAATCTTTCCTAGTTTCTTGTCTTTTGTGCTACTCGAGAAACAACAGAAATGTTAGTGCAGGGTGGTAGAGGTTTTTTTGAACTTGCTCTGTCATCCAGATCTGAACTTTGCTAAATGTTATGTCATGGGACTCAACAATGGAGGTAGTTTATAAACTGGTTTTTAAGTCCAGTGGGATCAAAGAACTGTTCAACTTTTCATTCATTTTCAGGGAAGGGGCTTCAAATCATATGAAGCCTCCCTTAAAGTAAAATAGCATGTATTCTCATCCTGTTTATTTCCACAGAAACATAAATACAAGATATGTGGATTGAATTCCCTTACTGAATTGGTACTAAGAATAGCAGTTGGTTTGTTGCCTATTGATACTACAGTCACCAGTGGCCCTGAATATTGGCAAGAGTCCTAGATATATCATACGCAAACATCAATTGTAATATCCTAAAGGGGAAGAAAACCGAGGGTTTGATTCATAAAATAGCACAAACATACTCCCTTTGGAGGATTAAGCAATCATCCTACTTTGACTTAATATTTTTAGTTTCCACTTTAAAATAGGTATCTATGAGTTGGAGAGAAAGAAATGCTTCTCTTTTAATTGATACCCCATACTTATTTTTCATTGTTTGCTTGTGTCCAAGCGGGTCATCTTGTAAACTATCTTAACTTCATGTGTAAAGGATGAGCCCACTTACATCAAATGAGAATTTGTTGATGGCTCCAAACATGTATAAAAAGTTCTGTCCAATTTACAGGGTTGTCATCCTGTCTTGTTTGGAAGTCAACCATTTAGAAACAGTGCATCTGTTCATGTGGAATTTAGGTCTCTAGCACAGCCCACACAAAGCCACCAATCCAACACCTGCCCTTGAACCACCACTGCAATAAGATTTTTACATACGTGTGAACTTCTAACTTGGAGGCTTCTTTGTCTGAAATCATTTTCTCTAGTTATAGTGCGATAAGGTGACTATTCCAACCCAGCTTTGTTTATTTACTTTCCCATTTAAGATATGACTCCCTCAGTTCCATAGTTTTGGTCTCCAATGGCTGGGAACAAAGCAAAAAGAAGCTGAGGACCAGGATGGGGCTCTTTTGGTGTGCTGAGAGAGAAATGAATACTGGAAGTGAAAAATTGTTATCTAGGGACTTCTAACAGAGCTATAAACGCATCCTTTAAAAGACCCTGTGCATTGTCTTTTTAGTTCTTCAGTGGTCTCAGTAATGGCCTCTTTCCTTTTTATACTGTATTATCAGTTGCTTATCATGAAAGATTCTCCACCTGAAACCACAGAGGAGTTAAATACCATCTTAGTTATTCTCTCATCATTTTGTCCCTAAAGCAACCCCACAGCTATTTTGAGTTGCTCAAAAGGATAGAAATGCTGTTGCTTGCATTGGCCCACCTATTGTTATTCACCTAAGCCTCCAGAGAAGTTCAAAGACCAAACAGTAAAAGAAAAACTCAGGCTATGCTAGGCATTTCATCCTTGGATCTGGTACAGATCCAGTAACAGAGGACTAAGATGTCCAGATGGATATACAATCCTTGTTTTGGGCAACACACAGTTCATTAGTGACCTTAACAAGGACTGTTTGAGAAGACTAAAGTGTCAAATGCATGATTATAGTGGGTTCCAGAGAAAAATGGGAAGAGAGCAATTAATACAGTAAGCCTGGGCAATTCTTTCAAGATGTTTTACTTTAAAGGGAGCCAAGAACTGAGTTTGTAGCTGGAGCAGGATATGGAGGCAAATAGGGATTTTTTTCTCTCTCTCAAGTTTGGAGTTATCACAACACATTTGTATGCTAAGGGGATGATCAAGAGGAGAGATAAACCTTCACAATGCAGTAGGGAGGGCACAGCTGCCAGAGGGATATCTTGCAGTAGACAAGCCAGATTAGCATCTGTGTGAGGGGTCACTCTCAGAGGGGAGTACAGAAGGTTGGTCAGTCCTACTGTCGGGGAGAGGCAGAGGTAGACAACAGATTTTGTGGGGATCTGGGAGTTCTCTTCTGATTGCTATGACTGAGTTAAATGAGAATGCAGGAGGACATGTTGGAGGTTTGAAGAGATAGTAGAAGGTGTGAAATAGTTGTCTAGAAGAAAGGAAGAATGAATGGACTGGGGAATTGTAGTGGGATTCAGGTCTTGCTTGAAATTCATGGTCATGAATTTAAGTGAGAGCAGGACAGAAGAGAAGATATGTGTGACCTTGGGCATACTGTGAAAAGGTTGTTTACAAAGGTATACTATCTACTTTACAAAGTTAGTGTAAGGATTCAGTGTGTGAGAAAGTATTTCAAAGTATAAGTACAGGACATCATTATTATGAAACTTGGCTTTGCATTACTTAGCACTTTCCTTGGGCAAAAAGCTTTCCAGATTTAAGACAGACTCAATGTCTCTAGAGACAGCAGCTGGCTTCTGCCACTGACTTAGTTACTGGGTGTAAACAACTGACTTAACCTCCATTTGCTTTTACCCCTCAAACTATAAAATGAGGATGGTAATGCTTAAAGGGCAGTGAATGCTTTACAAGTTAAGAGTACCATATAAACACAAGCTATTCATAAGGTGGCATTAGCCCTCACCGTCACTGTCACTAGAAAGTCAGAGAGCCTCCAAATAAGCCCTAATCCTTGGGTGGGAGATGCCCCCCCTTTGAAAGCTATGAAAGAGGAAGGAAAGGAATCGCCATGTGGGTGCCATCTGCATTACTTCCTTTAATCCTTACAACTACTCTCTGAGATTATTAGAACCTAAGACTCAAAGGGGGTTGAGTTCCCCAGTAGAGTATGGGTTTCATTGCAGGTTTACCTTAAAATCCCGGGTTCTTTTCACCTTGCCACATGTGGAATTGCGCTTGATTCTGTATATCCACAGAAGTTATGGGACTGAAAGCATACATTTTTTTCATATTCCAGACCTATATTTTAGCCAACCTAACCTGTTTGCAATCAGACATTTAACTAGTGTTGCCCAGTAGCAGAATAAACTGATTTGTTAGATATCCCATGATGGAGTAGTTGACAAGAAATGATAGGAACATTGGGGGAGGGGAAAAATAATTGCACTTAGCTACAAATGCACTTTGTTAAACACTCTTGGGATAGGATAGTAGGTGCTAGAAAAATTAATTCATATGGTCATGGGAACTGCTGAACTACCATGTCCACTCTGCCATTTCTTGCAATCTGTACATTATAAGCTGCAGCACATAAACTGCTCTAAGAGAAAATCACTGCTCTATTAGATTTTGATTTTTGAGTAACAATTGCCCACCTGATAGAGAAAGTGATAAGAAAAGTGTATTTATCTTCTTCCAACAGCTAAAAGGTGATCATACTTCTAAAATTTGTTGAGATTGTCCAAGAAACTGTGTAAAATACTCATCCATCACTGGAAGCCCCTGGTCAGGAAATGACAGTGCAGTAAATATCTTCAGCAGCCACCTTTTAATGTACAAGCTGTTTTCGGATGGAATTTTCAGCACTCACATAAAACACACTGTCATGAGTGACTGCTTGTGCTCCAAAGTCATTACTATTGGGATAATGGAACATCTCTCAGCGAATAACCAAAAAACTTTAAATGTCATGTCAAGTTTGTCGAAGCTGTTTTCAAGCCCCATTCAAGGTTACATGAATATTGAAGGTATCTGCTTTTAAGAAATTTGAGTTGCATGAGAGAGATCACTCATAGGTTGTGCAATGTGAGATCAAGGTAATTAAAAGAAATTCTAGGCTAGGTCTCTTTGGGAAACTCAGTCAGCCAAGCCATTTAATCATTAGCTCTTGCAACTCTCTCCTTACTACCTTGGTACATCATTTCACCATCACTTTGGGTGTGTGTCAATGTGTACACATATTATAGATGTGCATATAGGACATAATTCTGGTTTGCTGGAAAGTTCTGCCTGCTAAATTTATTATTTGAGGGAAACAATGAATTTTAAAATTCTGATTAGAGGCTTTCTTCCTTGGTTTTCTTCAAAAAGAAAATTTCATTATTATTCAAATGGTATTTATCTTGGGCCAAAATGTGTCAGATAATAAACTCTTTATCCAATACACTTTTAGTGAGCAATTCCTTTGCACCAGGGCCATTCTAAGCACTGAGACTGCAGCAATATTTAAAAGAATGTTCCTGGTGTCTCAGAGCATAGTTCTAGTAAAGAGACAGACGGTATACAAGTAAACAAATATGACGCATCTCGTGGTCATGAGTTCTGGTAAGCAAAGGATGAGGGGCTACAGCAATGAAAAGGATATGTACAATTCTAGAGGAATGACTAGGGAAGGAGACTCCATTTAACTGATGTTTGAGCAGAAACCTACATGAAATAGGGGACCAAACCCTGATAATCTAGTGACAGGCATTTCAAGCCTAAAGGAAGGAGAAGGAAAGCTCTGGTGCTAATGAAGTGGTTTTCTATTATGTTGTTGTATATTCTTAACCTCTACATGTTTATTTTAAATTGAATATTTTTTAGTTTAGTCTAAGAGAACTTGCTTATTATGAATAATTATTTTACATTTATGTTTTACAATGTGCCTAGTCCTCGCTTATCACAGTGACAAGTTTTATGCTTCTTTCCTGTAGAAAATCAGAAAGTGCAGTTGACAGAAGGGTCACGTTCACACTACAGTATCAATTGCAACTCCACAAGGACTACAGTCGCCAAGGAGCTTAATTATAATCCAGACACTCGTACGTCTACAGAGAGGATCAAGGCAGTTGAGAAGAAGGAAGCCTGTAATGTAGAAAGCACCAGAAAAAAGGAAATGGAACTTCTTGGCTCTGTTTCTAAAAACGAATCAGTTCCCGAAGTTGAAGCCCTGCTGGCAAGATTACGAGCTTTATAAATTAAACTGGCAAAAAAAATGATTAAGCCAAATATAAAGCCATGCTCTAAGCTATAACACTTGAAAAAATTGCTTTTATATAAGTGACTTTATATAGTTTTAAATTATGATATATATTAGAAAAATAAAGCTAAATACATTATTGCAATGCTTTTTCTATGTACTTGAAGTTTGGGCTTATTCAAGATTGTAATGTGCTTTAATGCTTTTTTTGTCTCCTGGTATTCATCTGTTCTATATTTGGTGGTTAAATTATACATATTGCTTTAGAGAGCAGGTAGGAGGCCATGTGTTCAGCAATGTGTCCTTAAGAAATACCATCTTTCTAAGTCACTGTAATTTTTACTATTTCAGCATTAATGAGTATCAAATCATCAATCTTGTTACACATGCATGTATATTTATATAGGCCTAGGTTTCTCCACTGTAACATCATGAATATTAACTGAATATATCACAACTATAAGGAAATGACTGGTAAACTCTTTATCATCATTGTTTAATTCATGTTAACTTGACCCTCTGAGGGACTCGTAAGCCAACTGAGTGCATTTCCAAAAATTATATGATAGAAATGTATGTATAATCTCTACAAAATGCCTCAGCTTTTGGATAAAGTGAAAATATACAGTATGACAGTGCTGACCAAAACTCTTGGTCTTAGCCAAGAGAACATTTTTTTTTCCCCAGTAATTATGACTATGGAATAAAATTACCATTTTGAAACTTCCAAAGCCACAAATTTTTGGATTCCTCTGAACACACTTGGAATTTCAATTTCTTTGATCTGACAATCAATAACTTTAACAAGGATCTGAATACATGTTTCAAGGAAAGTTTTAATATGCAAATGTTGCAATTGTACCTCATTTCAGCATCATTCCTTTGTTAATTCCATATCAAAGAAAATAAACTTGCTATTTGCACTAAATGAAAAAAAATTGCTTTCTTCTCCCTCTCATTAACATATTCTGTAGTAAGCTGGAGATACAGTGCTACACAGGCCAAGCACCTCTTTTGCTTTATTACATGTAATAACTAAGTGACTGCTCTTTTACTTTCAGTAAAAAGCAGTTATATAGAACTAGTCTGTGAGGTCTACTGCCTTTTATTTCCTTGTTTAAGTTGCCACCTCCTTTCGTCTCCAAGTTAATAAAATTAATTAATTAGGACTATGAACCAGGCTCTGTTTATAGACGTGGGGGAACAAGTGTTATCCATAGCCACTGTAGGAATAAATTTGCTGTATGTGTTGCTGAAATGTGAATCTTGCCCTCCAGTTGCAATTCCAATTTTCCTAAAAACAAATGTTTTTTTTAAAAAAATCAAGAAAAGTGAAGGACATTTACATATTTAAGCGAGCAGAAGCCATAACATCAAGGAAGGATTGTTTTGATTAGGAAAGAATGAAAGAATTCTAACTATCTGTTCTCAACATGATTTTCTGAAGACTTGGGCTTCTCAGAAAGAAAATTTAAATTTATCCACATAGTTTGGACAGGCCAGGTAGGGAGAAGCAGCCAGGCGAGTAAAGGGAAGTGAAGATGACACAGACTCCCAGGGGCAGAGAAAGACAGGAAGTCCAGCCCCAGAGCATCTGTCTAGACACAGGAGCTGAAGGACAATCTTCAAGCAGGAGGACCAGGAGCCCAAAGCTAGCAGAGCATCCACAGGACATGGCCTCCCTCTCTCTGAATGATAAGAGCTGGTTTTCAAGCAGGCCTGAACAGAAAGAAGGACCCATAGCTATGGAAAGCAAAACTTCAGTGAAAGAGGCTAGGTGCCAACTCAAGGAACAGATCACTCATTTTCTGTTGGAGATATTTCCTTAAGATATATCCCTTCAACAAAGGGCTAAGGGTATAATTAGGGTTTTAAAATTCATGGTATTCCTTTAGACAATTGTAGAGAAAACTATAACAATGACTTTTCATTCAAAGACAGACATGAAGGTACAGTTTTGTTTCTGAGCAAAAAAAAAAAAAAGTTCCTTTGGATTAGGTATGGTGGTTAATTTTATGGTCAATTAGACCAGGATAAAGGATACCCCAGATAACTGGCAAAATATTATTTCTAGGTAGATCTGTGAGGCTATATCTGGGAGAGATTATCACTGGAATCAGTAGACCAAGTAAAGATCACACTCACAGTACAGTGGGCATCATCCAGTTTGTTAAAAGCACAAATAGAAGGAAAAGCAAATTTCTTTCTCTGTTTATACTGGGGCATTCATCTGCTCCTGCTCATAAACATTAGCCCTCTTGTTCACAGGTCTTTGGGCTTAAATGAACTACACCACCAGCTTTTCCAGGCCTCCACCTTGCAAATATTGCCTGGTGGGACATCTCCACTGAGCCCATCACTAATAATAATAAATCATTCTACATATCTGTACATATTATATTGTTTGTTTTTCTGGAGAACCTTGACTTATACAGAAGGTAAATGTCCAACTCAAAAACATCTGATAGAGCTTAATAATCTTGACAAGGATATTCCTTCCAGGCCAGTGATAAACCCCAGATTATTCTCTCCTTATGGTGGTATAAAGAATTTAACTAGAACACACAGATAACTAAGCAATCACTGAGTTTTTATAAAATCATGAACCTACTCTAACAATTTTTTTCTAATGAAATGGTTAACTTAAAAACAATGGAAGCACTTACTTTATATGTGCCTTTTTATTTAACATATTTGAACAAGCTATGTCAAAAACACCTAGTGTTTTAACAAAATACTGTGTTGTCGTTAAAGGAATTAATCCTGTTATTTGTAACATGTTTGTGGTGGTCATCATGTTAAGTGAAATATACCAGGAACAGAAAGAAAATTATTATGTAATCATACTTGTAATGGAATCTAAAAACATTGATCTAACAGAAGATGAGAGTAGAATGGTGGTTACCATAGGCCCACAAGGGTGAGGTGGAAAGATGGGGAGAGGTTGATAAATGGGGACTCAGTTTCAGTTTAGAGAGAGAAATCCTGTTGTTCTATTGCACAGTAGGGTAACGGTGCACCTAGAAAAATGATGATGTACCATATATATATTTTTTTTTTAAAAAAAAAAAAGCTAGAAAAAAAGATTTTGAACGTTTTCACCACAAAGAAATAATAAATGTTTGAGGAGATAGATATACTTTCCCTGATTTGAACATTATACAATGTATGTATGTAGTAAAACATCACATGGACCCTCATGTATAATTTTTATGTGTCAATACCTAAATACCTAGTGTTTTTTAGGAAGTGAATATTTCTATAATTCAAATCAAAGTTTTTCTAATAAATTTAGAAAATTTAATTATTCATGCCAAGTTCCTCTGAAACTGTAGATATTGTACTATTTATTCAAAATGGGAATTATTAATGATTTGAAATGTTCATTTAGTTATAGATGATTATTTCCTGCATGATTCACTTTTATTTTAAAATATCATATTCCAATGTATATCTGCATTTACAAGTTAAAAACTAAATTGTTTTGGCTACAATGTACATCTGTGCTACATTCCACCAAATTAATTGCTCTTTTTTATACATAAACACATGAATTCCAGAAGCACATTTGACAATTACTCTCATGGCAAACTTTCTTTCAGACCAAGTGACTTCTAGAAAGTAATAGGTCCTAACATGTAAACTTCTAACTTGATAGAAAACCAAAAACAGGTGACATTTTTTTCTTCTTTCATATTAATTATTAAAAGTTTTGAGATCCAGGAATTGTAGCTGGCAGTGACCCAGCACTCATTTTTGGTGAATTGTTAAATAGTAGCTACTATGTGCCCTTGCCAGGCATGAGTGTTCTTAAAACATGACCCAGAGCCAAATTGTTCGACTGTTTTGGTCTAAGAGCCACTGTTTAGCAAAATGCATGCAGTTGCCAAAGAACCACAGAGATTGGATGGAATTTCAGAATTGAATCCAAATCTCCCCATAAAAGGCAAAAAATAGAACCTTAATCTATAAAAGCTCATTATTTCTAAACACACCTTTGCCTTTGAAAGTGGGTATGAGGAGAATGTTAAAACAAAAATGGGGGTAGGGTCTGGGGAAGAACAAAAGCCAGCTGTGTCTTCTAATTAGGGTTTAACTGTAGAGGCCGTTAGTCTCCCACACAGCTAATTATATTTTAGTGTCATATTTTACTTCAGTAGCCTCCCTTTAGGCATGTGCAGTAACAAGTACTTAAAAGGAAACTTGGTTTCTTGCAGGAAACCTTAAAATGATAGATATTTTCCCCCTCTATTATCCACTCTGAAACCCAACCAAAGCCCCAGATGTTGCCTCCTTACAAATTCACGTTACCAACCTTCCCCATATCCCCTAAAACTTACATAATATGCATTTCCTTATTTGAAATTTAATTTTTTAAGTTTATATACTATTTGTTATTTTTTTTAATTTGCTCTAATTAGTTAGACATGACAGTAGAGTGCATTTTGACAACACTATACACAAATGGATCGCAACTTCTCATTCCTCTGGCTATACATGGTGAAACCTAATTTTTTAAAGGCATTCTGATGATGGAATTGGAAACTAAATTTCTAGATTATCTCTTTGGGGCAGATTATCCATTTTATTTTACAACAACCTTTTAAAGTATTCCAGTAAGTATGTTAGTTTTTTTTTTACAGTATTTAAAGGTTCATATTTTACACTTTATGTAGCATTTTTATCTCATGTTATATTTGAACTAAAAACCTAAAAATTTCTCTCTTCCTAATTTTCTAATCTGGAGTTACTGGAACTTACTTTAAAGATGAATCTTCTACAAGAAAATCTAATCTTAATATAATCTGAGTAGGTGTGAATGTTATTCAATTATGAGATCTAAGCTGGATAGCTATAATAAAATAATTAGACTGAAATAAATATTCTGGTGAATTATTTCTTGAAAGCAGGTTTAAGTCCTCAGGTTTGTATATACCAGTTAATTTCTCCCCAAAGTACTTGTCTGCTTTCTCTTAGATTTAACTGGTTCTGATGTAATAGACCCATCTTTCCATCAAAAAACAAAAGGCTGACCATAATTGTTTAATGACATGTATATACAATACAATGAATACCTATAAAAGCAAATATAATTATAACATTAGTATAAAGAAATGTCTATTTACACATTGTAATTATTTCTTCTCAAACATCAATACATCTAAAGCATTCTCTATTAAAATACATCAAAACCAGGCAACAGATACTTACAACTTCATAATTAAGGTACCTAACCCATTGAGGAAGCTTGATTTTAAAACGGACTATTTCTTTCCTTGTTTCAGACACAAATACATGGCCCTTTCAATGCAAACCAACTAGATGTCTAATGAAAGCAAACAGGTGCCTCTCCAGCCTGAAGAAAATGACATTTGCTTTGGAGGGTGTCATCTTGAATCTTTCCCTTTCCTTAATGACCTAACAAGAGCCATTCTGATGATTGCAAGAGCCAAGACTGACATCCCACACCTGTGGCCTACCCAGAGCATAAGAGTCCAATTTGACTGTGATAATAAATAAAACCTTGTCATACTATTACAGGATGTTTGGCAAGGACAAGAATTAAGGCACCTTTATAACTCCCAAAGGAATCTGGTGATATTTCTAATGTGATCTCACACATCATTCTGTCCTGCCTGACCTTCCTTGTATCACCCTCCTGAATTATAGCCTGTATCAGCTACCTTCCTCCTGCCACAGCCTCTCCCCAAGAGAAAGAATGCTGAGCTGAAGAAAACAAGCCTGATTTAAAAAAAAAAAAAAAAAAAAACTTGGTAAAAAGTCAGTTATCCTGGAAGTCACTCCATATGTTCTCTGTGGAACATGTTTTCTGTGGAAATTTCTCCATTCAATTAAACGTTGTGCCTCACTTTATAAAATGAATACTGAAGGTGTCAAAGACCTCCTCCAAAAGTGTCCAGCCTCATTCCTTAATAACTTCTGGAGCCCAAAATGTTGAGGAAATACTCTGTATTCACAAGTCCAATTTACTACCCTTTTCTCCAATGATAAGTTCCTTTACCTTGACACTTACGGACAGTTGTCTCTCAGGGACTTCATGAACCCACGGAAAAAGGAATCATTCTGAGGTTGTAATAGCTTCTGTCTTCCCTAGAGAAGCTTAACAACTTCTGTCTGATGAGTCAAAGGAAGGTACATTTATATGGGATTAGGCAGTCAAGACACAGTCATGCATGAAGATAGTAGTGGCACATGGAAAAGCAGGCCTGCCTGGAGAGGCCAGATGTCCACAGGATAGCCTCCTTGAGGATGAACTTCTCTGGGCCCGCCTCAGGTGTTGCATGAGGAAGGCAAAGTGTGACTTTGGTGAGCCCTCATAGTGTCTTGAAAAGTTGCACTTTTGCTGCTGCTATGGCTCCTCTTTCCCTGCTTCTGAGTCTCCCTGGAGTTCCTGAGGTAGAAGGTTACCCTTCCAAGGTAACCCCCCTTCCAAGGGGATATTGAATTTTAACTCCCACCTGACCTGTAAGAGTTGAAAGTCTCCTGGTAGAGAATTGGACAGCAACAAACTGAGCCTGGAAGTGCACCTCACCCAGGGTGGTCCTGAGTGTGAATGTCCTTGTTACCACCACTCTGGGCTCCGAGAGGAGCTATTTCCCCTTGAAAGTCGAGGTCACTGCATGGACCAAAGATTCTCCAGTCACTCTTACAGAGGTGAGACAAGATGAGACCTTTAAAATACAAAGTTCTGAGTTAAGAAGTAGAGGAACTAATGGGGACAGCAAGAAACAGACATCTAAGCCAATGACAGTTCTCTCTCTCCACAGTAAACACAGCCCTCCCATCTCCAGAAACTGGCTGTGCAGCTGCTGGCAGTGTAGCAGACAATGGTGCTGACTAACGGCCATTCCTGAGGAACAATTCAGCCCTCCTACAGCTTCAGGTTTCTTACAGAAGAGCAAGGATTGATTCAGTCCCAGAATGATATTGTTCATATCCATGAGGACTGTTTGGGCATCTTGGCCTTTCCGAAACCTCAAGAATGAGGTGCTACTGCCTTGTCTGAATGGTCCAGTATTGTCAGCCATGCTAGAGTGACATGGGTCCTGGGTTTGACATCTTAGTTGCTCTGGATCCATGGTTCCTTTACTCTGAGTTGCATTAATCTAAACATTAACTGCTTTTGTAGAAGCCAAACTCAGGCTGGCCATGGTGGTACATCCCTGTAATCCCAGAGACTCAGCAGCCTGAGACAAGAGGATTGCAAGTTCAAGGTTAGCCACAGAAACTTAGCAAGACCCTAAACCACTGTATCAAAATAAAAAACAGAAAAGGGCTGGGATGAGACTCAGTGGTTAAGTGCCCCTGGGTATCAAACAAAAAGCAGCAGCCACACTCACCAGTGGACCAATACAGCACACAGTCTGGAGGGTTTGGTGCGCACAGACACACAGATGGGAGTTTAGAGAGGATGGAAGAAAGAGCATGAGGTCAGAGGGTTTCGCTGCATGGTGTTAGAAGCTGGAGTCCCCAACAGTGAGGCTGGAAGCAATGGAGACACAAGTGTGTGTGTCTTCCAGAGGACTCGGGACTGGACAGCTGCCTGGCAGTCCTTAAAAGATTCATATAGAAAAGATAACGAACTTATTCTCTGTGTCTCCAGAGAATAGAGCTAAGGCCAACAGATAAAAATAGAATTTATATGGAAAAGCATTTAATGCAGAACTGCCCAGCAGTGAGAGAGGCTGTCCTTCAAGGTGATAAAGCCGTGGACTCTTTAGAACACAATCAAGGTCTTATAAGAAACACTGGAGCTTATCTAGCGGAACCCCTCCTCTATATCTTAAGGATGAAGTGACCAGACCTCAGCCAGATGCCATGTCTCCTTTCTCTGTCTACTGCCTCTCTCTCCGGGCAGCCTCCGTCACCCAGTTACCTCAGCAAGAAGAGGCCTGACTGTGTGCAACATTTGGGAGATTTAAAAAAGGAATCTATTACTCAGGGGGTGAGCTTGGCATATTGGAGTTCTGAAGGACTTTATCACGTGTAGGATCTGTGTTCTGTGACTTTATGGAATCATAAGTGGGCACCCTATC